GCTTCTGAAAAGGGAGTCATTACTTTTTGGGACCTAGTTCAGATCTTTTCGTATCTATCTCTGAATCAGCTCAAAATTAATGTTTTGTCACAATCAAATCAAATTACTTATAATAATGAATTACTTATAAAGAGAGGAGCAAAAAAAACATTGAAGCAGAGAAGAAGATCTTTTGCACAAATAATCCTAATCCAAATAAGGTTTGTTAGGATAGAAAATAGTCTTTTTTAAATAATGTCGAGAATTTCTAAAGCTTTGACACGATGCGAAAACGTGCCTTCAAATATCCGTAGAAGCAATTCTCGTTTTGAAGAGGAACAAAAATATTACTTACCTCATATTGTTCGCCTCGCCAGCATCTATCAAAAGTTTTTTGTTTCCTTTGCCAATCAAATACGTGTTAGTACCCTACAACATTTATAATTACTTTGTGTGAACGAATGGCTCGCTTTCAGATCACCTGCAATGTGAATGGGCCTGGATTCTGTCCAAGAACTCTTGTAATTGTCTGACTAATCTGTGTGATATCATCAAGCGGAGTGAGATCATCGCGAGGTTTTCTTTTTGTGAATCGTTTTGTGTAGAGGAAGTAAATGTAACCCGTAAAACAAGTACAAACAAAATCAATGTATCGTCGTAACAGTGTCCACCAGTCCATGCTGATCTGAATTCCTAAAACTTTTGATTTTTGACATACGAACATCGAAAATGCATATTGCTGGTGTAGAGGACACTTCTCGTAAAAAGAAATTCAATTTTTCAAGTTTTACAGAGACTTTAACTCGCAGGATATGAGGTGAATCTCTTCCTTCATTTATAACAACCCCATAAACTGAGGTTATGATAGTAGTGAGTTAATGGAAAAGAAAAAAAAAGCAAAAATGTAGTATTTGCATTGCTGATAGCATGTAACGTTGAAACGTTAGATGAAATTTAACAACACGACCCGATTGCTGGCGGAATTCGTCTTGACGGTCATGGAACCATGTAAAATAAAAACTTCCATCTTCTAACGAATAGTTCCTCATAATGATGCAACACTGGTCCAATCTTGCATCAAATCTGCTTGATTGTGA